TTCAATGGAGTCACAAAGAGCGTGGAATATGTTGGCTAAAAGCAGAAATTTATTTTTATTTTTCACCTCAAAATAAAGACAGTGAATCTAACATGAAAGAGTACTGTGTCCTTAACAGATCAAAATAAAATGTGCATTAAGTAAATAATAATTATTAAATGGACGAAAGAGTAAAATACGTACCGTTTTTCTCTTCTCAATTATTTCCCGAATCAATAGTGCTATCGATCGACTATTCAATTGACTATTCCATCGTGACCACATGAAATTGTGTGTTAGACCCAAATGCGCCATACAATCTTTTCACGAAATAAATATAAAAATTATATATTTTTTATAAATAGATTTATTAAATTCAGGGTACATTAATTCCAACTTACCGTACAAATGGAATTCCATAATCACATCTTTTTCGCATATGGCTAGAGAATGGTTAAATAAAAATGGAAAAAATCAATATAGTGCAAATTCTTTCAAATGGAAACATTTTTTTATTTTTTTCTTATTTTTCAAAAAAAAATATTTTTAAACAAAAAAATGTTCTGAATATTTTTAGATTAATTTTTTTTAAATAAAAAAATTGATTTTTTGAATAAAGAAAATTTTTGAATAATAAAATCTTACTTTCGCAATAACAAAATGCATCTTTGTCTGGGAACAAATTGATGCCTGACTTGTATAAGAGTTCCTTCAGTTCTTGGAATGACATCGTTGAACCGATTGCATCTTGAATTGGTGGTGCCGTTCCACCCTTTCCAAATATAAATTTTGAATTAATTTTTTTTTTTTACAAAAATCCAATTGTTTTGCTTCAATCAAATTACAGAATTGTCGTTGAATTTAAAGAAAAATCGTAATTCATTTTTAATTTAAATCTTACTTGAAATGAATTCAAAATTAGGCCGGTTTCGGTAATAGTTATGTCGATGCTAACAACAGACGCTGTCAAAGAATAGAATATATGTCCAGGCCTATTTAAACAGAAACATTTTTGATTAGTATTAAATTAAAGTACTAATTGTAAAGAACTCCATTGTGTCCATCGAAGTGAAAAAACATCGTTTTAAAAAAAATTAGTAAAATTGAGCAAAAATTAAATTTAATAAAATAGTAAATTCAGACAAGTGTCCTCTCCACTTAAAATTAATTGGAGTCATTTCTACGATTTGTCCACTTTTTAATTGTTTAGTCAATTATTTTTAAAATGTTATTTCGCATTATTTCAGAAAGTACCACAATTTTCGGCTGTATTTAAAACGTAATCTCCCATTTGTTTGCTCAAAAATCGCGAGTCACAGACACTCACTTTTTCAAATCCGGCTTGCATTCCCATGTTTGAAACGGAAGATTTGCATACCAATTAACAGCCAATCCAAAGCATCCTAGCCTGCCGGCTCGAAATTGTACTGCCAATTTTTCTTCATTAAATTTTGGATCGTGTACATCCCTTGTGCTCCATCGTCCAATTATATTTTCGTCTTTCTTTTGAATGGGTGACCTGAAAATACCCATTTTCATTAACTACCGCCACAAGATTCAAATGGATCAATGAAGAAAATCAATTGGAACTTACTCATCATCATCGCTTTCCTCAAATTCATGTTCACTCTCCTCTTCCACTGGTTCAATAACCTCTGGCACCACTTCGACTTTCTTATTAAGATTCCACGTAAATTCTTCCGGCTTAAACAGCATATCGTCTGTATTCGACTCGACATCCTGTTGATCTGAGCCTTGTTCATCGGATATTGACATTGAAAGAATGTCAGAAATTTCTTCCATTTGTTTTGTAATCTGTGGCTGTTGTTTATCGTACATATCATCCAAGTCTTGAAGCAACTGAGAGAATAGATATTCATTCTCATCGGCATTCACGTCAATTGGTTTACGTTCGAGAATTTTCACACTGAATTTTAGTGTACGTTTTGGATGCAAAAACCGTGGCGAATTTGTTGGAATCAAAAAGTCTTTGGTTGATTGAATTTGAATTCGGTCTCTTTTCACACTCGTTGCGTCATCGGAAAATAATACCGAACTAGCCGGACGAGACTTTGGTTCACTCAATGCGATTGTATAGCCATCTGGTAGACGTGGAACGATTATATCTTGAACGATGAAATTTATATCGATTTTCGGTGGAATTCGAAGTAGATTAAAATCGATGATGTTCACTTCGGTGCTTTTGAAATGACGTGAGGTAGTCTTGATTGAACGTTGAGTTTTCAAGTGGTCA